GGCGACATACAGTTTTATATTTGCATAAATCAAACATGTTGCATGATTATATTTTTCCTTACATAAGTAAGGCAAAGTCATAGTTTATAAAATAAAGCTTTGACATTCGGTGAAATAAATACTATTAAAATTACATTAGGGTGAACTTTGAGTTTTTGGTTTTAATTATTTGTCTATGTTAACATGGGTTTTTATAATGTTCAATGGTAGCAATTACTGAAGTGTAATTAGAAATTTTAGTATTCATGAGTATCAATAACTGATACTCTGGTCAAGCAATATAACTGCTTAGTTGGTCCACACAAGGGCAAAAATTGATAAATAAAATTTGAAGGTTCTTTTCTACAAAATTATACAGAATAGTATTAAATAAAGGGTGTTGTCTGGTGTTTACTCTGATATGTTGAGAAGACTGTCATTGATGTTGATTGTCACAGGTTGTATGTAGCACATTGGCAGCAACTAAACTTAAAATTTTAGTAGCAGGTCTTCACTCAGTGCTTTAATTTGGTTAAAACTCTTTAAGTGAATTTTCAGTGTGCTAGTTTCTATCTATCTATAGTTCTGGTGTCTATGGAGTTGGTAGAAGGAATCTGTCATCAGTTGGGATTTTATTTAACTATTAATTTAGTGGAGCTGCACTAGGTTGGAAAACCTTGCTTCTTTTGGCTCTTAAACGTCATTAATTTTTACAGTTGTGTCACATTGTTTTCTATGTTTTTTTTCTATGTGTTCAACGGATTAAATTTTACTGATATTTTATTCATTGGAATCTTGTTTACCTTCATTTGCTTAAAGTCATCTTTCCTCTGTAGCTCTCTAAATATAAAGCTTGTTTATAAAAAATAAGCACATAGTGTTCTATGTAGATTCGGTCCTCATTAGCTCAAATAGAATGGAATATTTCTTTTGTTTCTGGATTAGTGGTTTTTACTTTTTATGAATGGGTACATTCACATAATTTTAGCATACAGTTTCAGGGATCTTCTGACATGCTAAAGTCCAAATATTAAGTTGTCTGTAAAACCAAACCCTTTTCTAGGAAAATCAAAGGCAAACAGGAATAAAATAAAAGTGCATATTTAAACTGAATTTGATAAATCAGTATTGTGCATAGAGGAAAATAATCTTGCTAGATTGCTCTCACCTATAAATTATTTCGTGTTATGGTGGTAATTTTTGTGAACAACAGTATCTGACAACTAGTTGGTTTCCTGAATTTACAAACTTGATAGTTAATATGCCTAAAATGATTTTTTAATTTATCCAAAACTTTAAGACAAGAAATACCTATATAAAATGTGTACTCAGGAGAAGATAGATTTTTACTAATATATTCTAGTAGTTCCTTGGTAGTGACTGAAATGTATTATTATTAGTTTGGGTTTTTGAGGCCCAAAGAAGGTCATTATGTGTTACATCTAGTCATTAAGAAGCCTTGAATTACTGGCCAGTTTGGCTCAGTGGTTAGAATGTCTCCTTGCAGACCAAAAGGTTGCAGGTTTGATTCCAGGTCAAGGGCATGTACCTGGACTGCAGGTTCGAATCCTGGCCTGGGTCGGGGTCATGCAGGGGGCAACCAATCGATGTTTCTCATTATCTCCCGCCCTCCCCACCTCCCTTCCTACCTTTCTGTTTTTATTTATTTTTATTATTATTTTTTTTATCCTCACCCAAGGATATTTTTCCATTTTTTGTACAGATAGAGTGGGAGGGAGAGAGAGGAAGGGGGGGGAGAGAGAAAAACATCGACGTGAAGGGACACATCGAGTGGCTGCCACCCGCACGACCAACCAGGGCCGGGGACAAACTGCAACCGAAGTACGTGCCCTTAGCGGGAACCGAACCCGGGTCTCTCCAGACCGCAGGCCGATGCTTTAACCGCTGAGCCAAACCGGCCAGGGCCCTTTCTGTTTTTAAAAAAAGGCAATGGAAAATTATCCTTGGGCGAGGATTAATAAAAAAGAAGAAGCCTTGAAAATCTGTATTTTAAATAAATGGCCTTGTAATGTTTATCTTTTAGCTTGGCCATTAGGATAGAGGCTCTTTGTTTTACCTGTTCAGAAAATGAGCTAGCTAATATGTCTCTCAAAATGTAATTTTATTTTTATTAAAAACATTTTTTTCTTTATTGATTTTTAGAGAGAGATGAAGGGAAAGGGTGAGAGATAGAAACATCAATGAGAGAGAACATTGATTGGCCGCCTCCTGCATGTTCCCGCTGGGGATCAGACCCACAATTTGGGCATGTGCCCTGACCAGGAATCAAACCAGCGACCTCTTGGTTCATGGGTCGATACTCATCCACTGAACCACACCAGCTCAGCCAAAATGTTATTTTACTAGATTTTTTTTTTAAAGGCAAGTATTATTTATTTTTATTTTTTGTTACTCCTCACCTAAGAATATTTTCCCATTGGTTTTTAGACAGAGTGGAAGGAAGATGGGCGGGGGTAGAGAGACATCGATGGGTTGCCTCCTGTATGGCCCTGACGGGGGCTGGGGATTGAACCTGCAATCCAGGTACGTGCCCTTGACTGGGAATCGAACTCAAGACCCTTACATTCATGGGCCAACACTCTAACTGCTGTGCCAAACTAGATGGCATTCTGACTAGATTTTATACCAACACTTAGTGTCTAGATTTCTGATTTAGGATGCAGTCATAATTCTGTTAGACTTAGTGTTTTGGTAACAGTGGAATTTTCATGCAAACTTTTTTAGATACTCGGGCTTTATTGATAGGGGATCAACAGCTGCCGTCTTACATAATTTACTATATGGTTTTCTCATGGGGAATATGGTTACTTAATTTGTTGTTGGTTTTGAAGTTGTCATACTGAGCTTGCTATTACCTGTCCCTAAAGGGTTATCAAAGGTTGTTTTTTCTCTTTGTGTTTTCTTAACCTTATGTTTTCACAACCAATCACTTTGATTTTTTTCAAGACAATGTCACCTTAAACTCCTGTGAAGAAATTTTTTGAGTTTCTCGAGAGTTCCATTTTTGCTTGAACAGCAGTTAAGTTCTGTGGTACCAGAAGTCCTTTAGCATTACCAGTTGATCTTTCCAAATCAATTTTTCTTCCAAGAACTAGAGCGTTTGACTCCCATTTGTGTTCATGGGCTCATTTCACAGATTCAGAACTGCATCTTGTACCTCATTTTTATTATGACCTTTTATCTGGATCAAATGAAGTAGTATGGTTCAGAAGGAAAAAATTCCAGAGCCATGAAGTGTAGGGAATCTGAAATGGCTAAGCTCATTGGTTTAGAGACTGGTACCAGTGGGAGTCAGTGGGTTGAGAGGTAGGTTAGATCCCTAAATCCAGCAGGGCTGGGGCAGAGTTATTTCATGCCCAAAGATAGAGATATCCAAGTCACTTTTATTTACCTCCAGAAATTGTTGTGTGTGCTTAAAGTATCATCTTATACAAAAAAGTAGTTTCTGAACACTGATGTTTGGTTTATGAATCAGTGTACTTAGGAAAATTTTGGGCCAAAAGAGGAAAAGCTCTCTGTAAGATAGTGATAGTTTGTTGATCTTAATTCCCATTAATGGATTAAAACAGACAAACATTAGCTCAGTTAATAATTATCTGCTGAGAAGAAATCATTGTAGAAGTGCCAAGGCCTTCTTGCTTTTGAATCAAATTTTCTCATTTCCTGGGGCTCAAACTTAAAGTGTTTCTTATTGGAACAAGGCTTTACTAACTTACCACATCATTGATTCTTTGGCACATGGTAAATCAGTTACTGCTGGGTTTCTAGAGGAAAAGTGGTGGATTGGTCAATGCCTAAAAATTGCTTAAATAAAGATTAGTAAGTCATTTCCTCACTTAATTTAGGGAAAAAATTCCTGTCACAGCCACTCCTAGGAAAAGATAAAATATGACCTTGTTAAAATAGTATGGAAACATTTTAGATTGGGTTGGACAGTAGATAGAATTATGATCCTCTGCCTGCAAAATCAGGGTTTCCACTACCAGGAGTTTGGGTACTATGTAATAAAGTCAGAGAAGACTAGCCATTAATGAGATATGTAACAGGGATATTCAATATCATGTTATATAATCTGTAAAATTGAAAAGCTGTTGAGTGCATCACGTATTTGTTTATTAAAACCTTTGAAGTTAGATAGAGCAGCAGTTGGTGGATTGGTTTTTATAGCATACCTGGGCTTTAGAGTTAAGTTAGTTGCTAGAAAGGTGCAGAACTAGAGTAAGATTTCCCCCCTCTACTGGTGTGTCTTACCTTCTTATGAAATCATGGGATACTTAGCAATAGAAGCAACAGTTTGATAACCAGTGATTTTTGAAAGCGAAGTGTATGCTGGATAATGGATTTTAAGTATTAGTGAACAGTGGACAAGATGGACCGTATTCTTTGCCCTTTTGGAGCTCTGATGCTTAAATGTTGTTAGAATCAGTAGTGGAATTTCATACCTAGCTAACACATGAAATGGCTGTTTTTATAGACCAAAAATGGTTAATATTGGCAATTATATATGGTTCAATCTAATAATCACTAATTAGCAGTGATGATTTTTTATGCTTTTGTGGGTGCAAAGATCAGGAATTTAGCTAACAATGAATACTTCTGTTTGTAGTCTCAGTTAATTGCAGTCCCTTTTTGTGAGTACTTTTCTTTGGCATATATGAAGTTTTTATTGTAGCATATATATGAAAAGAATAGGTAAAGATAAAGGCCAGCCACTGAAATAAATAAATAAATGAATAAATGAATGTTTTATTAATAGCACCATACCATAGTACAGAGCAACCTTTATGTCCACTGCTTAAAGCCAACCAACCATATCATTTGATATATTTGTGTATATGTAGTATTTTCTTGAAGGAAAATTTTACTGGCCTTTTGAATGAAGTTAGCAAAAGAGAAATGATAGACAGTGAATGTTAATTTATTATTTTATAAGGTTACCATTTGAATCTTGCTGACTTAATGTAGTTGTGAAGGAATTCTGTTTTCTTCTTACCCAATAGGATGTACAGTTACCCAGCGCGTGTTCCTCCTCCTCCTCCGATTGCTCGGGCTGTGGTGCCCTCGAAACGCCAGCGTGTATCGGGAAACACATCACGAAGGGGCAAAAGTGGCTTCAATTCTAAGAGTGGACAGCGAGGATCTTCTTCCAAGTCTGGAAAATGTATGTATTATTATTGCAGCTTTGTGATGTTTCTTGTGTGTTGAAATAAGGAAATTAACGCAGTTAATAATCTGTGTTTGTACAAATGCCTTTGTATAATCTAAATAGTAAAAGAGGAGAAGATAGTGATTATGCCTTCTATCCTTAAAACCCTGGTAATTTAAGACTTTAGGGAGTTTAGGCACCTATTAAATTTATGAAATATATATATGTTAGTAAATCTTTACAGAGAACCTGCTTTAAAAAGGAATTGAAGTCTTTTGCAAGCCTGCAAAAGTCAAAATGCTACTGATAATGGAGTAAGCACATTAGATTCAGTTTTCCTTTACCAACTAAACGATGATTGAAAGTCCCCATTACTGAGACATTTCTGATACTGATGCCATTTCTCACCAGGGATATCCTGTTGACCACTGGTGTGTATAGTATAGTGGGAATGTTTTTGATAACTTGTAGCTTCTGGTACATTTGATTTTCATCTAAGGTTTTGTTTATATTAAAAGTGAAAGGAGATGACCTTCAGGCCATTAAGAAGGAATTGACCCAGATAAAACAAAAAGTGGATTATCTACTGGAAAGCCTGGAAAAAATTGAAAAGGAGCAGAGCAAACAAGCAGGTAAATGGTACTGCTGTCTATTGGGTGTAAAGTTGGGTTAGTTACCTAAGATAGTTGAAAGTATATGTTGAAATAGTGGGATGTAAAACAATTGAATATGAAACCTGGAGAGTATGAATTGGGAAGGGCATTTGTGTGGGAGGATTTAGATGTGTGCTGCAGTTCTGTAATTATTAGTGGGAATTGCCTATATCCTGTGGACATTACTTGACCCTAGACAGACTTGTCCTTTTCATCCACAGTAGAGATGAAGAATGATAAATCGGAAGAGGAACCGATCAGCATCTCCCTGAAGAAAGATGAGCCTAATGTGAAGATGGAGTCTGAGGGGGGTGCAGATGACTCTGCTGAGGAGGGGGACCTACTGGATGATGATGATAATGAAGATCGGGGGGATGACCAGGTGAAAACCACGGGAAAGGAAAGAAAGAGGTGGTGGAGGGGGGATCAGGGACGCATGGAGTGCCTCTAACTCCATCCTATTTGTGTCTGTTTCTCACAGCTGGAGTTGATCAAGGATGATGAAAAAGAGGCTGAGGAAGGAGAGGATGACAGAGACAGCGCCAATGGCGAGGATGACTCTTAAGCACATAGTGGGGTTTAGAAATCATGTCCCATTATTTCTTTACCTAGGCGCTTGTCTAAGATCAAAATTTTCACCAGATCCTCTCCCTAGTATCTTCAGCACATGCTCACTGTTCTCCCCATCTTGTCCCTCTCATGTTCATTAATTCATATTGCCCTGCGCCTAGTCCCACTTTCACTTCCTTTGACGCTCCTAGTAGTTATGTTAAGTCTTACCCTGTAATTTTTGCTTTTAATTTTGATACCTCTTTATGACTTAACAATAAAAAGGATGTATGGTTTTTATCAACTGTCTCCAAAATAATCTCTTGTTATGCAGGGAGTACAGTTCTTTTCATTCATAATATGAGTTCAGTAGTTGCTTCCCTAACTGCAAAGGCAATCTCATTAGTTGAGTAGCACCTGAGAGCAGCTTTGAGTTAGAGGTATGTGTTATACCCCACATAAAAGTGCTATGTGGGGCTGTTCAACACAAATGTAACAGTGTATTTTTTTGTGAATGAGAGTTGGCATGTCAAATGCATCCTCTAGGAAAATAATTAGTGTAATAGTCTTAAGATTTGTTTTCTAAAGTTGATATGTGGGTTATTTTTGTGAACAGCCTGATGTTTGGGACCTTTTTTCCTCAAAATAAACACGTCCTTATTAAACCAGGAATTTGGAGAAAAAAAACCCTGGTTTTTTTATTTTTGTATTTTATATTTGTTTATTTCAAATTCTTTGTTTCACAGCGGCTTCCACAAAACCCCTAGAGTGTACCAGATATATTTTTCTTTGAGTCATAATCATTATGCATAACAACACACACTACTCAAATGATATTCCATTGGGTTGGGTATTGCATTAAAAAGACAAGTAACTTTACTGTGGAATAGAGGGTCTTGGAAAATTGCTATTATATCATAATGGGGGAAAAAGGGAAATACATTAAGCTTTTTCATCAATGCTTTGTGGTCTAGTTGATGCCCTTTTTTAAGATTTTTGTTGTGTGCTAAATTATTTCATTCTTATATAGCAGTCCCAGTTACCTTCTAGATTCTGTGTCTTTGCCTCAGTGTTACTGAAAATAGAAAACCTCTTTTCCAGGTAACTGAGAACATAGTGAGGGTCAGACATTTATTTTACTTAAGTAATTTTATATAACAGATGACAAAGCCGAATAGTAAGAGGCTGAACTATGGACTGCCCTTGGATTTGAAATCCACAGTATAAAAGTAGCTTTTGTGTTAATTTGGTCAAAAATACTTCTGCCCACCTTGTTTTCTAGTAATGTGTGATTTCTTATGCTACACAGTCACTTTTGACACATGACAAATTGGATGCTTAAAAAGGGTCAAAGTTCTAAAGTGCTAATAAAACCTGTTTAAGGTTATAATGTTAGCCATCAGTATTTCAGAGATACCGGACTAATTTGTCTAGACATGAAAATATTTGCTTTTTTTTGTTTTAGAGAGAAACATCAATATGAGAGAAGTAATATTAGTCAGCTGCCTCCTGCACCACACCCCATACCAGGGATTGAGCCTACAACCTGGGCATGTGCCCTGACTGGGAATCATCAACCCTCCAAGGCCCTAGCGGGGAAGGGGAAGACGCCCAGCCCACTGAGCCACACTGGCCAGAGTGAAAGTGTCTATTTCTAATTCTTTCTGAAACCAAATATTGAAAGAAACTGAGTAAAGGCTCTTTTTTAATAGCTAGAAAAGTGATCACCCACCCACTCTTAGAAAACATACGTGGTTATTGATTAAATGCCAAAAATGTGCCTAGATGTGTCAAAGAATAATTTTACATGTTAGATCTCAGACTACTATGAATTAAATGTCTTCATAGTTGAAAAGAGGATTCCCAGTAGATTTCAGTTCAGATGTTACCTCAACATCAAAGGAATCTGTTACACAATTTAGCAGCAAAGCCTGGGGAAAGTAAAACATTTACAAGTACTAGTGTTTAGTTAATGTTATAGAAATACTTTAGGAATAGGAAATAGCTGTATATTTGATGAGATCAGTTGAAAGATACACTTTGTTATGAGAATATGTGGCCAACCTGTGATGCTGTCATTTTCTAGAGAGAACAAGGAAGCATCATTATTGATTGTGTCTTGGGGAAATGAACTACTTAGCCACATAAAACTTTCTGACACTTGACCTTTCTATTTAATATGAGAAAAATTAAACATCAACCTTTTTCATCCCATGGCACACATAAACTTAATTACTAAAATTCTGTAGCAACCCAAAAAAGTACATGTTTTGCCGATCGGACCAAAACATAGGTATTTGCTTGATTCATTCACATCGAGCAGCATTTGTGTTGGCTGTTGTCATTTTTATTTTTTATTTTTTATTTATTTTTTATCCTCACCCAAGGATATTTTTCCATTTTTTGTACAGATAGAGTGGGAGGGAGAAAGAGGAAGGGAGAGAGAGAGAGAGAAACATCGATGTGAATGGACACATCGAGTGGCTGCCACCCGCACGACCAACCAGGGCAGGGGACAAACTGCAACCAAAGTACGTGCCCTTAGCGGGAACCAAACCCGGGTCTCTCCAAACCGCAGGCCGACGTTCTAACCGCTGAGCCAAACTGGCCAGGGCGGCTGTTGTCATTTTTAAATTTGACAGCCTAAGGGAAAAGAGGTCAGGGTCCCAGACTAAGTACTCAGGTATTGCATGTTTTAATAATACTTCGTGGCACACCAGTTGAAAATCACTGACCTACATCAATGTCAAATGGGGTTTGCATTTCTGGACCCTGGTTCAGATTACCTTTACCAAGAAAATGCATTATGAGTTGAATTTAGAGGGATTAAAAAACCCTGATAATTTGAAACCAGTTAGCAGTAAAACACAACTATGACAGAAATGAGAGTAACCTGTAAATGAGTTACATGTGATAGGCAGTGTGTGGGCTACTAAATAACTTTAAAAGTACCTCACTTGATTTATCAATGTTGTACCTCACAGAGCACTGGTATTATTTATACTTTGGTGTTTCTTAGGTTAATAGGGGACACTATGTTGGAGAATTTTTAGTGTTTAGAAAGATTTTGGCGTAAATTAAAAGTTTGGTCAGTTAAACTAGAGAAAAGGCTGGATATAGATTTATACCTGACTTTGATGAGAGGATTCCTGTTGTTTGGAGAGGAGACTAAATTACGGGTGTGACAACAGCCAACACAATTTAGGAGACTGAATTCCAAGTTTGGATTTTCATTAAATTAATCCTAATGAAGTCAAACCAAGGAGAAGGCCTGGAAACAGTATGTGTTGTATTAGTAACTTTAGGTTAAAAAATTTTTTTTAACCCTAATTTTATGAAAAGCAGGACCTGTTGTGAACTTAGTGGCACACTTCTTCACTGCTTAAATTAGAGGTACAAAAAGTAATAAGGGAGAAGGGGTACAACAAGGTAAATGCAAAACAGCCCTGGCTGGTTTGACTCAGCCAGGCAGGTTGGAGCAATGGCCTGCTGACCAGAGAGTCCTGGGTTCGGTTCCTGCTAGGGGCACCTACCGAAAAAATAAACAAAAACAAAACAAGGTAATTAATGGTAGTTAAATCCCATGATGAATGAGGATAAAAAGGCATGGTGCTGTCTGTTCCAGTATTGAGCATGCCACATTTTTTTTAGGTTACACAGGAATAAAAGAGCTTGAGGGAAAGATGTTCTGTATGTCTGACAGATTTGCTTGTGCAAGAATAATTATTACATTTCTTTTATGAAGCTAAAAAAGTTGTAATTAGAATGATTTTTAGTACTTTATCAAATTAGTTGGTTGAGTGGTTCTCAACCTTGATGTGCATTAAAATGACCAAGGGAGCTTTAAAATCCTGATTCGTGTCCAACTGGTTAGGCTCAGTGGTTGAGCGTTGACCGTGCACCAAGAAAGAGGTCACTGGTTCGATTCCCCATCAGGGCACATGCCCAGGTTGTGGGCCTGATCTCCAGTGGGGGGCATGAAGGAGGCAGCCAGTCGATGTTCTCTCTTGTTGATGTTTCTATCTTTCCCTCTCCCTTCCTCTCTCTCTAAAAAAATCAATAAATACTTAAAAAATAAAATCCTGATTTGCAGGTATGTACTCCAGACTTTAAATCTCGGTCATTGGGTCTCAGGCATCATTGTTTTTTTTTTGCTGTAATTTCAGTTTGCTACCAACACGGGAAACCGCTGCACCAAAAGTCAAAAAGTGCCCTTTTTTGGTTAAATAAGGTAGAAGGGAAGGATTAGGAAGAGACAGGGCTTTCACAGAGCTTGTCTCTGGGTGACTACTAATAAGAAAGTAAAAAGGCCCATGTAATTTGATGACTAAGTTAAGGCAAGTGCTTGCAGTAAGAAAGGAAAGCATGGTGGTATGATTCTTTTTTAAATCTGAAAGGATGAGAGAATACCTGCAATGAAATCTGGCTAAAGTACAGAAAGCACACAGAGGCATATGGATAGGGGTGAAGGTGAGAGAAAAGCTAGGTTTGAGGGAGAGACAAAAATCCTTCTGAGGTTGCAGGAAAGCATGTTAAAGCCCAACTTCATTGACCCACCACTCTTTTTTCTTTTAGAGAGGAAGGAAGAGATTGAAACATCGATGAGAGAACATCGATTGGTTGCCTCTCGCATGCTGACCCACCACTCTTAAAACTACTGTACTGTCCAGTAGAATTTTTTGTGAAGGAAATGTTTCATAACGTATTGACCAATATAGTAGCCCTGTGGCTAATGTGACTAAGGAATTAAATTTAAAGTTGTATTTTATTTTAAATTTAACCACATGTATCATGTATCAACACTGTTAGATAGCATGCTAGAGAAGACTGATTACTAATTCAGTTACATGAGCAATTGTGACTGGTCCCAAGATAGTTTATGTGCCAAGTTCATTGAAAAGAACATTTTTCTAGGAACTAGACCCTAACATGGAAGATTTCCCTAGTGTGACAACCTCTACAACTGTAGACCTAGTCCAGGATGGCCACATACTGCTTTTTTTTTTTTTTTTTTTAAAGCCTCATTTGAGGACGCTTTTGCACTTATCTTCATATAGAGCGAGAAGGAGAGAGGGAGGACGAGAGAGAGAAACATCAATGTGAGAAACACATCGACTGGTTGCCACCCACATGACCCCAACTGGGGCCGGGGACAACTGAGGTACATGCCCTTAGTGGGAACCGAACCCGGGACTCTTCAGTCCACGGGCCGACACTTTAACCGCTGAGCCAAACCGGCCAGGGCACATATTGGCTAAGTTTTTGAATTTAGCAATATATTAAGTGGGAATCTGTGTTGTCGGGTGGATGACTGAAGCCCAGATACTACCATTTACAGAAGGTTTTATATGCATCCTGCGTGATGCTGGGTAAGCGTTTAACTAACATTGTGCATACAATCCTGAGTTTCACACAGCCCTATACAGATGTGTGGAAGTAGTAATTCCTGTTGAGAGATGAAGTACCTTAATGCCCCACAGTTATGAAATGGTAGAGTCAAATTTCAACTTGTGATCACACTTAACATCCATGGGTTTTGGACCTTAGGAAATGGTGTCTTTGAACCCAGATCCTGAATCCTAGAAAATGATGGGATCCTAGAAAATGAAGGATCCCAGCACCTTCTCAACTTCAAATGATTTTCACCATTTTTCTCTTCATAGATTTAACAGCTG